ACCGTTGGCGTTCGCGCAGCCACGGAACGTCGCGAGTGCCGTTCTTTCGCGGGTGTCTCGTACCGATCGCGTTTCGCCGTCGTGATACGCCGAGGACGCGCGTCGTCGACGACAGACAACGAGAAGCGAACGCTGGAAGCGTCGCGCCGGCGATTATTGCGGGAGTCGCGCGCGCGCCAAGAATACCTCGGGGGGGGGGGGCGATTTCGGGGATCGTCGCGTCGTTTGCGACGAAATCCGGGTTGCCGTACGAAGAATCGCGCCGGTCGCGATGCGCGTCGTGCGCGACAACGTCGGGGGTGCCGTGCGAAGTATCGCGCGGCGAAATTTGCGCCGGTCGCAATGCGCGTCGTGTCCCAGCCAGAAATGACTCGTCGATCGACGGTCAATATGGCGGTTCCGGTGTCGGCGCGACAGCGTCTCGACGCCGATCGACGAGTCGCGCGATCAAGTTGTGCCGGTCGTAGTGCGCGTCGTACGCGACGACACCGGGAGTGCCGTGCGAAGTATCGCGCGACGAAATTCTGCCGGTTGCGATGCGCGTCATATCGGGAGTGCCGTACGAAGGGTCGCGCGTAACCGAAGTGCGGGCGTAATTTTCGCGAGTGCCATGGCGAGAGGAGGAGGAGGCCCGGGGGGCATCGGGCAACGGCGGAGCAACCGTTGGGTAAGCATGATTTTTTTGTTCGTTAAACTGCTCGTTTTTGTCCACGGACGAGTCTTTCATTGCCTGCTTTTGAATTACGCGCAAAACAAATGTGAACTAAATACTTGAACAGACTCGTCGAGCACTTAATAAAATGTCTGTCTGAAAAAATATTTTACGCAAGTATGAAATTGTAATAGAAATCCACTCACGAGATTTTCGTTACAACTTCATACTTGCGTAAAATATTTTTTAATCACGCAAAATTGGTGATTATTTTTATTTTGTTTAAATTACTCGTGCATGCACGAATTGGATTTGTATTTGAGGAAACGTTTTGTTTCTAAAATTGGGATTTTTTTGTTAAGTTTTTAATCAATCGTTTAAAGGGTGAATAGCATTGATTGTTTTTAAAAGATTAATTATCTCTGGCACTATTTCAATTTATATTTATATTTTACAGATGAACGTCGTGCGCTACAACTCCGCTGCTGCGCTTCGTACCGGTAAGTAACTATTCGTTTATCTTTTCATCTTCATCTTGGAGCAATACACTTTTGTGAAAATTATATGTAAATATGTTGAAGCGTGTACACACACGATACGAAATAGAAAATGTATTAAAAGTCTTTGCTGACAACTATATTACACGGAATTTAATATAAAATTCATATAAAAATTTAAACTTGCCACGACAGATGCAGTAGTAAAATATTCCAACTACTTTCGTTCGATTGCTCGCAATCTTTTATTACACCTTTGAGATATCTCGAAGTAAATTGTCTGTTCACATTTCATTATATTTACGTATCGTCGCGAGTGTAAGAACATTATAAGCGTAACATATTCTAGACTTACTTGTATTATCTTAAAATTGACTGGGATCGTTTAATGCCATTATTCAATTTTATACTATTCGTATTCCATCCGACGATTTATTGCGTGTGCATGAAACAACGGACTCGTTGAAATCAATTTAATATCATTGCCCAAATTTACTTTCTCCAACTTACTCGCGAGAAGTCAATCGGTGGATTTTCTCGCTGAAAACCGCGAACGATCATTAATTTCCAGTTACAAGTGTACTACTGAAAACCGCAGTGGTGTAATTATAACAGCAAATCAACGACTATTCACTGTTTTCAGTGTTCACTGATTGACTCTTCGAAGAGTACTCTTACTTATTTCGCTAACAGTCGGAAAACATATTAATTCCGCGCGAGTATTGCGTTTTTTCGTCGAGGTAAAATGAACAGAAAATGTAACACAATTAACTTTATGTTTAATTGCAATATTTACACAGTGTATCTTGGAACATTGTAATTACAAAAGTACCCTTACGCATTGCACACGCAGTAATAATCCTAAAAATACATCCTCCGAGGGAGGACATTATTGCATACGTATACGTATGTCTATGCATGTATCACGTTAGAGAATAGTACTTGGATAACTTCGCAAGCGCTAATCATTAAATAAAACTCACCGAATTAAATATACGACGGTTACGATTATCGCAGCGTGGAGACTTGAAAAAAAAAAACACTTATTTATCTCGTTACTACGTTGGGTTACAATTACATGATTGTCATCCGCGCGGGCATGACATATGCCGTGCTTATAAATCGGTTTAACGTAGTAAATGCATCGATCGACAAGACCGTTGATCATATTAAGATAGTCGTTGAATATCTACGCATAATTCATCTACTTTATACCTAAACTTTATACGGAATTCTTTAAGTGGCAAAAGGCAACGTCCGTCACGATCCTAATATAAAATCATATTAATGTTTTTCAACCTTAGTCTTCCTGACAATGAACCTGCCGATAACACAATTTAGTGTAATTCAAAGTCGACAGAACGTTCGAATGTCCGAACCAATTTTTATCAAGTTGCGTTATCTCGTTTAATGTTGACTGGAAGGCACCAATTCAGACGTTTACGTATTTTCTGTGTCATCGTATGATGAACGTTGCGTTCGACGCACTTGCGGGGGAGGGAATTAAAACTGTATGATAAACTTTAATCCTTCAAGAGAAGCTGTTCTCGTGAACGACACTATGTACACCTGCCGTTTCCGTCGTTAACGCGCAGAGATGCCATTTTATCGATCAGAGAAAAATACGAGGGCGAAGATACCGGATGATCTTGCCCCGGGAGTTGGCGTATCGTTTAGTTGAGCGAACGACGGTACGCCAAACCCCTCCGTCTTCGTATCGCGTCTCGATTAGTCACAGGAATCGTCCATTCGGATCCTTGGTTCGCGGGCCGTTCAGGACGCCGGGGATGCCGTCCTCTATTCTCAGGCGACTATCTGACCTGGACGTCGCGCCGGTATCCTGCGCCGCGGCGCCAGGAGGCCGCTCAGACCGCGCGTTTCCTCGTGCTTCGTGCTGGCCGCGGTGCTGGTCTCGGCGAGGACCGCCTCGGTCGGCTCGGTCTCGCCGGAGGTGGTCTCCTCCTCAGAGGCGGCCTCCTCCTGGCTCGACTGGACGGCTGGAGTCTCGGTCACCTTGCGTCGCGGTAGCAGCGGCGATCTCCTGATCGCCGGCGGTATAGACGGCGCCTTCGTCGTGGTCTTCGGTTGCACCTGCAGCCGATTACGGTTGCGCAGTTTGTTCAGGGGATTCGATGTGGTGGCTCGCGCCGGCGGGTTGGTTTCTGCGGGCGCCTGAAGAACAGAGGAACTGATTAGGCGAGAAATTGTTACTTCCTTGGAAATTTTACGTTCCACCGAAAGTAATTTCTAGATTCTATTGTCACCGGAATTTTTAGAAAGAGAACAAGTTACGGTCAGATAATACGTTTAAAAGTAAATAAAGTTCTCAGAATTAACGATACTTTGTAAAATAAATTACAAAGGATATATAGAAATTTTTGGAATTAGTCTATTCATTATAATGAAACTGGCCTCGTTCTTTGCCATTTTCTCTCTCTCCTCTTTTTCACGGCTTCTATCTCTCGATCTTTCATTCTTATCAGCGCTCAGGTATTCGTAATTCATGACCGCGAAGTTGTAAAAACGAAAGGTGAAAAGCGGTCGGCGAGCCGTCTCTCGCCGTGGATGACATTTCGAAAGGCCATCCAGTGAAAGTAAACTCCAAGAGAGAACTTTATCGAGTGACACGGTGTCCTCGTACCTAATCTTGCAAAGTATGCAATTACCTTGCGATATACATACACGTGCACACTTGAGATAGAATTTCAGGCTGACCTTACCTTTGGCATGCGGAATTGCTAGATCGAGAGAAAGAGATATCTGCATATTTAGATCATTTGTTCAGTAACAGATACGTTTGTCGAACAGTGCCGGCGGGTATGACCCGATTTACAAGTCGAGAAACAAGTCATTTCGTGGAGCAAAACTATCGCGGTTTTTTAAATTCCCTTAGTCTCGTCTATAAATTAGAAAATTAATCTGCGCGACAACTTTGTATTTGTAAATATGTTTCATGAGAGAAATATTGAATAATCGCGTTCTCCAACTGGCAGAAGCTTAGAATTTTTACATAGCATATTGAATATTGAAAGAAAATCAAATTTTACGCGCTTGAAAAAGCAGAGAGAATATTAAGAATGAGAATGCCCCAATTAAAATATCAACATAATAAATAGTCACATTGTCCAAATAGTGGAAGCTTTGAGTTTCGAGAAAACATATTGAATATTGGAAGAGAAGTGTATTTTTACATTTGAAAAGGAGAGAGTATTGAAATTGCGAATGCTTTAATTGAAATATCAACCTCGTGAGTCTCCTCTTCGGTTCCTTCTCCAGCCGGTTCCTCGACTGTTCCTTCGGGGACCTCGGGCGCGAGCGTCGTGGTAGTCGTCTGTCCCGGTTTCTGTCTCAGGTTGACCCTGCCGCCGGGTCTGATGGGCGGTCTGATCGCGGGCGCGCCCGGAAGTCTCGTGCGAACGACGGACTTCGGTGTTGCGCTTTCCGGCGCGTTCTGGGCGGCGCTCTGGCCGGTTTCGGAATGCGCTGCTCCCTCCTGGGGCTCCTCGCCTCCCGGCGCGGACGTAGTCGGTCGTCCCCGTCTCCGGTTGATGTTGACCTTGTTGAAGGTAGGCCGTGCCGCCGCGGGCGACGTCGCGCCGCTGGACGGCGCCGACGTCGTCGTGGAAACGGCGATTCTGCCGCCGGAAGGTGCGCGGAATCTACCGCGACCGGCTGGCGGCTTTTCCGCGTTCGCCGAGCCGGCGGTTTCTTTCTGCACAGTGTCCTCCTCGATCGGCTTGTGATTACCGCCTGGCCGGGGTCGCTTGAACCCACCACCGTTCGAGCCGTTACTACCGAAACGTGCCCGGGGTTTTTGGGTCGGTTCTACGGGCGTTTCGGTCGTGCTAATGCCGTTGTTGGACTTGAACCTAGCGAAAATCGAGGACAAAGTTATATAATTCTCATTACTAGAAGACTCGTGGGGAAAAGTTTTTTTTCTCAGAGCAAAATGAAAGAAGTTAGGAAAGATAAATTGTAATAAAAATGTACCGATTTCTTGAGATAGCTGGGCTGGCGATTCCAGGTCGCCGGAATTTCCCTCTTCCCGCGGGAGCTTGAGTGGTGGTAGTCGGTGGTTCCGTGGTCGTTGTCGTCGTGGTCGTCGGTTCGGTCGTCGTGGTCGTCGTCGAGGTCGTCGTCGTCGTGTTACTGGACTCATTAACGATCGTAGAGTCGGCGAATTCCGCCGTTGTCGTCAGGTCGGTCGTAATCTCGTCGTCGGATACCGTCGTGCTGTCTCCAGCTGTTTCGGCAGCTTCGCTGCTGGACGCGTCTATCAGATTGCTTTGCCCTTGTTGAAGGAAGGCGTAAAGGTCCAGGGCAACTTTGTCCATAACCGACGGATATTCCGTCGTTGGATTGTCCGTAGGGTCAGCGCCGACACTGGGATAGACCGGCGAGGCTTCCGTCTCGCTGGACTCTTGTGCTTTTTCTTCTGACACGCGTTTGTTGCCGCCGGATCTTTCCGGCGCGGCATCTTCCTCTTCATCATCTTCCTCGCTGGGACGTACCGGTTGACCTCTGCTCAGTTCCACTCCGGTCTGAAAATTAATTTGTTGGTGTTATTTTAAATTCTTCATTTTGCTCTCGCGGAGTATGAAAGTAACATGAAAATATAGCTGCGACGAAATTATAGCTCTTGTAAAGAATATTTGCGAATCTAATCGAGCATTAAAAGTGCATCCGATGACAAAGTACTATTTGATATTTGCTTGAAATTTAGCCTAGTTTTTTGCAGATTGTATTGTACTTAAATTGCTTAAACGGTTATCTGTTATAGATTTAATATTACAGTATATCTGTTAGAATATCCGATTGATTGTTTGTTAGATTAGGATGCAACTCTGCACTTAAATAAGTTTTTTAACAAATCAACAAATTTCAACATAGTTAAGACAATTACTTCAGTCGATGCCGTAGTGCTGACGCGTCTTCTAGGTGTCGGTGACTCGTCGACAATTTCTTGGACAGGAGCGGGGTCTTGAGTTCTCTGCGGTCTTCCGCGATTTCTGACCAAGGGTTCATTGTCCTCATTAGGGGTAACGCCTAAGAATCTAACAGGTCCTTTCGGGAGGGTTTGCGGAAACTCGGGGCCCTCTTGGTGGGTCCGGAAGCTGCTGGAGTCAACCAGATCCAAACTCGGTCGCGGTCGGTTACTACGAGCTCGCGACGGTTCCGTTGTGCCCGTGTTGTGATTGGATCGCGATCTGTTAACAACCAATCGTGCAACTAAGCGTGATTTACATTGAGATGAAGTTTCCGATGATAAACATGAACACATTTCTAGATGTTGCGCTTGCAAGAGATATATCGCACTCGTTTGAAAGATTGTTAAACGTTTACGCAATTAATGGATACCTCGGTGGAAAACGGGTGTTCGTAGGCAGCCTTTCCTCGGAAACGTCCTCAGTTTCGACCAGTTGCCTGCCTCTATTTCCATTTCTATTCGGTAGGACCTCGTTGTTGCTAGGCTCCACGGTGCTCGACCTCTCTACGCTACTATACTTGCTCCTGTTGTTGACGGTGCCTGCTCTCCTAGGCGCCGGCGTTGTTCTGGAAGGAATTTCGTAAGAATTCGTCACAGGCGAACCCGCCGTACCTGCTTTGTTCTCATCCTCCTCGTCGTAGTAATAATACACGTACTCGTATTCGTAATCCTTCCCGTTCGGTCCTTTCTTCACCTGTCAAGCGCCAAAGAATATAACACATACATGTTTATATTCGATGTAGAGAATTGCTAGACGACGCTACAGACTGGCAAATTCTAATTAAAGAAATTTACCGCGAAAAATATTACTTGAACCAGGGACTTTGAACCTTTGCCTACACTCGAGGCGAGCGTCTTACCAATTCGACCACTGAGGTCTCAGTAGGGGAGTCCAGGTTCAAACTCTCTGGCTGAGGTAATACTTTTCCCAATAAATTTCTTTAATTAGAATTTGTCAGTGTAGCGTCGTCTAGCAATTGTCTACATTGGTTAGTCACGTATTGGCGTCAAATCGTTCTTTACGACGTTTATATTCCTTGAGGAAAATTTACATGCATTTTGTTGCACTGAACGACACAACGTAAAGGTATAAGAAGAATTCATTAATTTTATTACGTACCTGAATACGAGAATTTGTACCAGCCGGTACCAAACTCACGTCACTCAAGTCGCCAAAGTTCGCGTCCGAAAAACGCGCGTAGCCGTCCTTGCTATCCTCGCGAATAATGTTGACGGGAACGAAATCAAAGAGGTTATCTTTGCTACGTGCTTCACGTGGAGTCGTCAGGATGGGTAGCATGGTCGTTGGATATTCCGCACTAAAAATATGCAAATAATATCGCATCGTTATTGGAATACAAAGAAATATAATTTTTGTACATCTACAAATGTGAAAGTAGCTACACTGGCCTAGTTTATACCGCTGCACGTTCATGTTGTTACCTACACCTTATATTCGACTAGGTCGTGACGGTGTAAACAATTGATAAACGACTCGACCCGGCTTGGGTTAGGTCTCTTTTTCACTTATCCTGGACCAGAAGGTCAATTCTATATCTTGCAACATAAGGCTTGCTTTCTGTTGTTGCACTGTTGTTGGTGAACTAGTGCAATAAATTAGAGTAAGACAAGTATATTTTTTCTCATCCTAGCTTACTGCACTAGTTGACTAGTGCAGCAATAGAAAACAAGCCTATACTGAAAATGCTAAAAGTGAGCGGCTTTGTCTCTTCAAGGGGATAGTTAGAGAGAGACAAGGCTACTCACTTTTAGGGTCTGAGCGGAATTGCGTTACTTCAAGACAAAGGCTTAAAACATAAAACATTGTTTTACTATAGTGTAAGATATAGAATTGACTCCCTGACGTTGGCCGCGCGATATAACGCGTGTAAAGGTGGCCCAAAATTGCTCAAATTTAAAGAGAAAACGTTCAACTGAAGGCGTTCACATGTGGACTTAATTTTTACCTGTTACCTATATTCGACCTGAAAGTATTACAGGCGGAAATGGTGTGAACGTTTCATTTGGAAGCTTACTTTAGATCAGGATCACGTTGCGCGAACAAAACACGGTGTAAACTAGGCCACTAAAAAAGGAGAGAGAGAGAGAGAGAGAGAGAGAGAGAGAGAGAGAGAGAGAGATTCAAAATCACGTTATTCTTTTAAACAAAAGCAGACAAATTACAACGTTTCGTTTTTCCCTAGTTATTCATATTTCAATGAAAAAATTGAAAGAAATTAGGGAATGGTAAAGTATTTAGTTCGACTTAATTAATTATCGGTCATTGTATAGCTCGTGGGAAAGTCTCATCGCGTTTCATTTATGGAGATGTTCACGATCGAGTGAATTATACAAAATCGTCTTACCTGACGTAGACTCCCGGAATAACCTCATCCTGCTCGGTCGGTTGCGGCCTCTTAGAATCAATCTTCTTTATTCTGCCGTCCTGCAGAACCTTTCCAGTGTCGCTAAAATTTTCGAGCTCGACTCGTGCCTGTCTTTTAGCAGTGAGACTGTCCACGTCGTCATCTTCCTCTGTCAAGTCTAAACGTCTGGCAGGCTCGAGGATAACCGTTTTCTTCTCGATATTCTCGAATTTTGGAATTATTTTCTTAGTTTGCTTATTGTCTTTGACCGTAAGTTTCTTCTCGTCAATGTACTCGTCATCGTCGTCTAATGGTTTTGCTACGTTTTCCGGCAATTTGTGGGATGTTACAAACTCTGAAAAATTCACCAAGATTTATAGCAATTCTTTCCGTTGTTGCTTAAACGTTCTAAAAACAATAATAAAATACAATAATTGTCGAATGTCACAAGTTTGATCTGTAACGATTCAAATAAAACAAGAATCCAGTGTTCTTGTTTTACCTGTTGAACGTTAAATTAATTTATCTAGCATTTGCTTGAACCTGTAAGCTGGTATGCATTTTGTAAATTTTCGTTTAAATTTATGCGTAATATACCTTCAATTGCGAGGGCTCGCGGTGGCTGATATGTCGTTGCTGCGACATTTTTTCGAGTGAGACTGTCACCGGATATCTGCACGGTATCCGATGGACTGTCTGCTAGCGTGCCCGCAATGATGCCGCATATTCTGCAAAGTTTAATATAAACGCATTAATAAATCTAACGTGATTACCTTTAGAGGTCGTAAAGTATAAAGAAAGTTCAAGTTTCATTTGACAGTCAATTTTTACGGTAGATCTGTGTTATACGAATTGATGTATGATTAATTAAGAGTATACGAAGGAAAGTTGACGTATGAGCTTAACGACGAATCTTCAGCGAAAGTGATAAGGCGCGTGTGAGATGCAAGAAGGCAAAGTGTAAACGATGGCGGAATGTGTATAGCTAATGCAAGACTTGATTGGTGGTGAAAGTTCACATCTGGTCGTCGAATCGCAAGCTGCATCCGACGCTCGTCCGGTTCTCTCGGTCACTCGATTCTTCACACTCGTTGCGCAAAATTTAAAGTTCGCCAATAACGCGAAATTCGGATGTCAATCGTACGAAGGTTTCAGCAATCCAAAGAATTTTGTAATTTAAACTGAAGAAAGTGGTTTTTACTTTATAAAAGTTTCTGTTTTACTTAAGTCTGAGATAATTCGCAGATAAGCGAACGGAATTATTTCAATATTTGGAACAATTTTATTATTAATCTAATTTCTCGTTTTTTTGGGGGTGGGAAAAATAGACAATTTTAATGTTTAATAACGAGTCTTCGAAAACCAGTATACGACCTCGCCCTCTTTTTTCCTAAGATTGCCAAAATTGGCGACGGGACTCGAGACACACGACGGCTTTCACAGTTGTTCAACTTTTAACACCATTAACATTCGCCTATTTCTGTTACAGCATGTAACAGTAATAAAATTTTGACATTTATAAAATAGTTTCTATGCCTCTCACGGAAGAAATCTTTCTAAAAAAAAGCGGAGAGACAAGTTTTGTACAAGGTTGAAGAAAAAAGTAACGAGACAATAAGATTCTTGAGTTCGCGACGTTGCATTTGCAAGGACGATGGGTTACGATCAATTTCCTTGATGAACGAAGGAGAGCCGCTTTTGAAATTAACACGAATACTCGGAGCTCTTTTCCCTCGATAATATGTAGTTGGCAAGGGCATTGTGTGGGGTCACGGAATTGTCATTTTAAAAGGTGATTTTTCTGACGCAATGCTACATGTGTATCTTTAATGCATCAGCGCAATTTATGCACGTTAACATAATAGCGATGCTGCATCGTCGGTTGATTTGCCTCGTTATATTATTTTCACGTTTAAAAAGTACAAAACTTAATTTTCCTAATATATTACGACTTTTACTGTGCGTACGTGCGCGTTATTCTGTTTCTGTTGCAACAGTTAATTTTTTTTTACGTTAAAGCAGATACATGTTTATCACGTCGATATAACTAATTCACTACTCTGAAATTAATTTGTTATATTTATGAGAAATGAGCCTACGACATTTACAACAGGAAACCGTTGTTGAATATGCACCGTTCCGTTTGAGCGATCTTCCGGTACAAGAATAACTTACAACTGGAATACATTTACAAATAAACTAGAACAAGTTGTAAGTCACATTCTTTTCTTCTTACGCGATCGAGTCGGATGTAGGATTGGTAAATGGTTATTTAATAGAAATTATAAGTTATTGTTTTTCAATCTTTTGGTGGGGGGGGGGGCGCATAATTTCTGATTTAAAATTGTTCTCTTGTTTTATTAGATGGTTTAAAAAAGATTATTGAATAAATGATACAAATATTAATACTTATACATACAAAGTATTCTATATCTGGCACATCATTCTTTATCTCGCTCTAAGAATTCTTAAATATAATTCTTGCCAATTATATTTGATTATTTGATATTCAATTTTTATTTCGGTTTATTTAAATAACAGTTTAAAATTACTGTAGAGTTATCTATAATAATTTTAATTTTGGATATTTATAATTCATCAAAGTGTTAGACTCGCAGTTATAAGATTAGATTTTTTAATAGATAAATTTTTACGCGAAAAATCTTTTTATAAACGAGGAAAATGTTTAGAGGTTTGTTTTCTATCATCTTTTAAATACGAATTAAATTAATTAAAGATTGCTATGCTGTATGTTTGTGCAGTTTCAAATCTCGCGAAGTTTCATTTGATTTATGAAATTTATACGAAATATGAGATAAGTAAAATGTGTTAAGCTCGATAATTAAGAAATCAAGGACTCATAATGTTGCATCCTACAACTTAATCTTAGGCCGAAAATGGATGCTTAATGCAAGAATTTATCGCGAAACCGTGGAGAAAGCGGTCTCGCTTACAGCGTATCTGCATAAACATACTGCGTACGTAGGTATCTCCAGTGGCACGAGACAGTGGCATTACGTAAGCCACAATATTACGGCAAAAGCCTATTACCGACCCGTAAATGTTTTTTTCGTCCCGCCTACGAAATACGGCTCTCCACGCATAAATTTGCTGAAAGTTAATAGGAAAAAAATGCAAAATTTTGATTATCTAGAATTTTTATCAATTTCCTTCTCGCTCTTTCTTGCCTAGCATCACTATTTCTAAAAGATACAGTACATCATGTAAAACTATATGTAACAACTTAATTATTTACTGATCCACTAACATCGCAGTGCACAGTTTCCAGCCAGTAAACAATTTTTTTATTATTGAAGTTAATTCTAAATAAATTTGATTAATCTTCCAGTAGTTATGCTTTTTTAAAACTAATCTTATAGGGTGGCTTTATTTAACACTTTGATGTTACGAATTTATCCACGAATTCGGTATCAAACTTTTCTTGGCAATATTGGAATATTCCTTGTTATTTATTGCGGCTGGTATTATAAAATCGAAAGGCGAATAATGAGGCATTTAAAAATACAGTAATCGACTAACGTAAACTTTCTTTTGCGTATCGGCAGTTCTATATATTCGATGTTTAAAATTTTATATATTTATTACGTGCAAAAGAATAATAATTTAATGAAAAGTTTTAATTTTATTTTTAAAGTAGTACATGTATTATTGAATATAGATATTAAAAATGTGATTCACATACATTAATATACATATTTCTGGCAAAACAGCTTTTATAATAATGCAACATTATTATTAATCACGCCATAAAATCGGAGTATCTAATCGCAATAATCTAATGATATGCTTCAGTAAAGCGTTGTAAATTCATATATTTGCGACGCTCTCACCAAACATGAGAGTAACGCGGATTCAAAATGCCGTGGTCATCTGATCATTACTCGCTTGTCTTACTTGACGATAAATCTCTTTAGAAGAATCTTAGGTGAATAAAATATTAAAAATCTAATAAATAAATTACGTGCGCGTGGAACATGTCGAATCGATTTATTTTAATTGCTCTTTAGCGTGAAATGTAAAACAATTATAAAATAAGAAATATATGTAAACAATTACACAATTAAACAGTAACTGCCGAGTAATTAGATCCCTGGCTGTTATTTATTTATTTATTTATTTCCTACTCGGGTACATATATTTTATATACACATATAAATTAATTTCTACTAACTTTACATATTTTAATCGTTTATACACACATAATTGAACATCGCAGGTTATGATCCAATTAGATCAATTTCAATCTTTGATCGACAATTTGAAATTGAGGGCATGTCTGAAGGTTTCTCCCAAATAAATTATTACATACACATTCCCCTGAATGAAATCATAAGTAATTGGCGTATCTAAGAGAGTGAGTCGTTGATTGCGCGCACCTTTCGCTACGATAATTCTCGTAATGCAGAAACATAATATCTCTCGTGCCCATGAAAAACCGCTTTCCTTCGTATCGATAATCGTCTATTATCATTAACCGTGATTTTATATGAGTTGCTTAAACAAGAAATCTTTTCACTATTCCGGTACGGTAGAGCTACGGTAGAGCTGATGTAGATTGATGTAAAAAATGCTTATAAAAATGCAGCATATGTATTAGGAGAATTTTCTTGGTACATTAGCATATCCTAATTACCGAATTTTTGAATGATAGTTATTGAAGTATAAAAATTAGCAAGCAGTATAGTATAAAGTATAAAAGTTAGGAAAGTATTTAAAAATTGGAATAAAATAATAATGAAAATTGTACGCTGAATATACTTTATTCTATTGTACGTTTTCCGGAGCGAAAGTTGCATAATTTTATTGTGTGCAAAAGTACTATTAGTAGAATTACAGTACCGAGAAAGAAAAATTAAATAAAAAGGTGAATGTGAAATATTCGATGGTATTTTTATATAAAAATAACACGTAAACAGGAACTAATTTAGAAATGCGGTGCATAGCGTGTTGATTACATCAAAGATACGCATGAGGTGTTGTCTGAAACTTAATTATCATTTTCAGTGAATGTAAAAAGAAATTTTGATTGAGAAATTAAGATTCGAGTAGACAAACTGTGTCGAATCTATAATTCTATAGTGTTATTCGCGGATAACCGGTATTTAATAATTAAGTTTTTGTAACTTCCTGAATTCTTAATATATTAGAAACTTTTAGTATATACAATACTTTTAATAATGAAAAACTATCGTATTTTTCTATTTTATATGACTTTTATCTACGCGTGTCTTTTGACTATATATTTTTTAATTTCAATCCGTTGTCAAAAACAAGTAAAATCTCCAAGTTTTAATCAAAGAATTCTTGGACTGTCGATTAAAATTCTCACTTTTTACTTGAAAAACTTGAAAAAACATTCTCCTACTCGTACTTAACTATTTCTTATAACGCAGGTTCACGTTTGCACGTATGATTGCATAAAATGAGACGATAAACCTTGTTATACAATTTTCGCAATATTATCAAATCATGTTCTCGCTTCTTAGAAAATAAGGCTTTGCCACATCTTTTCTGTAAAGTAGCTAACTCAATTACGCTTAAATTTCTCACAACTAAGATTGGATTTCACAAAGATCCAATTCTCACACGCGCCCGTCACCGAGATTGCTCTCTTAGATAAAGGAGAGACGCGAAAGACTAGCGTTGACTGATTTCGTGAGTACTCACAGGAGCACGCTTCTTAGCCACATGTCTGCACTGAACACAGTTCTCTTCCTCGTCCTGCTCGCCTTTCCTCGTTTCGCTTCTATCGTGGTTCGTGAACAGCTGCTTCAGATTAACGAAACTCTTCTCAATATCAATATATACCCGGCATATATATCGGCACTCTCAAGAATATCTATATATATATTCTCTCTGCAAATACTATCGATGTTCTATATATGTATATGTATCGTCACCGGACACTCGCGATCATCTCTGTCCTCTTCTCGACCGGTCGCGATCGGCACTCGTCGCCCAGCTGCGCGCAAAGAGACCTGGCCGCCGATATGTTCACTGGATGAGCTGATTCTCCAGGATGTACGTGCGTTTCGGTCGACGTGACCTCCGTCCAGCTTCGTGACGCGACTTCGCCAACGAGGCGCGAAACGAATGAACGAATGGCAAAAGCGAGCGCGCACCAATAGACGGAGAAAAAGAAAGATCAAGTGAGAGTGTGCATGCGTGTGCGTATACGAGAGAGAGGGACAGAGAGAAAGAGAGAGAGAGGGGGAGAGAGGGGAGAGGGAAAGAGAGAGAGAGAGAGAGAAAAAGAAAAGATAAAAAGTGGAAAAAGGGGCACTAAGTAAAAGTAAGAGGTAGCCGAAGGACGTGGTGAGGGTATGAGAACGGTGGCGAATGCAGGCCTCTACTTATACCGCCACCCACCACGGCCACCCGGAGTACACCCCACCAGCCCATGAAAAGTGGACACCACGTAGTCGAACTCGACTCCGGCTTGATACACTCCGGGGGCCACCGGAGATCCGAGAGATCCTGGCTGGCTGGCTGCACGTTCGCCTGCCGGCACATATCTCGGCCGAACCACCTGACTTCTCACGATGTCTGACCTGACTTGGCGAAGCACCGTCTCCACTGAGCGTATTGAGAAGCTCCGGTTACCTCCGTCTTGCATATTGTCTCACGTTTGCACACCGGGGATTCGAAAGCAACGCGCGTTCACGATTCGAGATTCTGTTTTGAAGCTAAAAATACACGAAAATAATATCTTCTTTGAGAAAGCGATTGACAAGTTTCAGACGCAATATTTGCGGGACTTTCGATGCGACGTTAATTGCTTCCCGCTGCTATTAAATGATTCTAAAATTTCTCCTCGCCTGATGTAACTTCGCCCATCGGACAGATATATCTTTGACTCCTCTCTTTTTAAATCTCTTCTTATGATGGAGAGCCTTTAGATGCACAGGGAAGAATCGAAGATTTCGAGGAAGCCTCGACGATTGTCTCGATTAGCACGGATGCTTTCGTAATATGCAATTTCGCCGGAATCACTTCAAGTACATCGAAAAGGCGGTTCTTGCATTAGAAATGCGGAGCTGATCACGTCAAAGAGATCCTCCTAGAACGGTGACAAAATAAGAAAAGGAGCACGAGACCGTGAAATGTAGAATCGACGAGCTTGTCTCTTCCTCGCAGCGACAACCAGCGAAGCGCAATTCCGCTACGGATACCGAAACGTGCTTGAAAGGATCGATAATCTTTATTGGGGCCGTTGCATAAGCCGCTGCAGCGTCTTCGCTTCCTTAGCAAGGCGATATCTCTTCTCGAGTTCTATCTTCATCTACGTTCATCTTTTATTGTTCCTCGACATAGAGATATTTGTTTTTACATTTCCTCAATCATCTTATCTAATTATTTTATGCGAGAAATTAGAATTGTATCAATCTGAGATAATTTTTACTCAAACATGTCGCACAAGTTTTAAAATTGAAAATATCGCTTCGGTAAAACGAAAGGATTCGAGAAACCCAGCAAACGTGAGGCTTGATTTGTGAAGATCATCACGTTCGATTTATGTGTAGCCGTTGGCGAGAAATCATGCAAGACTTTTCTAACAATAATTCGCAAAGATAATGCGCGCCGATCGTCACCGTAGGTGTCAAGGCCCAGTGAAACCGACAGCGTGTAAATTATCCAGCCTGGAGCGTCGCGCCAAGAACCAGAAGGCAGCTGCGGCGTTAAAGGTCTTTGCGTCTCGTTGCGCAAGAAGAATGTCGATCCATTAGGACCAGGCCCAGGCTATGATAATCCGCGAGCGAATGTTGAGAATATCGAACGGCCGTACAGACGATTTGTTTTTTTTATCGGGGGAAATTTTATAGGACGACGTGTTTAAAGGGAAACGTAGTCGTTAACATTCGAAATCTCCTAAGCGCGAGGTATTCCTCATGTTGTCAGCCTGTTAGAAGAGGAGTAAAAATATGGAGAGATTTTATTAGATTTCGTAACACACGTACACACACACACACATGCAATTTTATGAACCTTTTGTGCCTTATCCGACATCAATATGCGATGTAACTTCGTTTACACGCATTTATCCTGCTGTGGCAATTGTTCTGATGAACTGCAGGAATGATTTCGTATCTGTATACGTAGAGCCAAGAGAAGTAAATTCAAACGCACGAATTTACCCGAGTCGAAATTTTGGCCCCATGTTGAACCTTTAATTGATTATATGGTAGGACGTAAGACAGTAAAAGAGGTTGAATTGATTATATGGTAGGACGTAAGACAGTAAAAGAGGTTGAATTGCAAGTACAAAATTTACTCCTACTTACAAACTGATAGTGTCGGAAATTTCTACTTTTGCCAATTTAGCATTAAAGTAGGTTCTTTTAAGTCGGAGCTGAAGTAAATTGATTAGAATTAAAGATTGAAGAGAGGAGTAAAAAAATATAATATCATCAAAGCAGGCTATTGCTGGTTTATGTAGGTGTACAAAATTTACTCCTGCGT